CCTCAAGGAACTCCTCACACCTCACACCGCCTCCAGAACCCTCCGCTCCACCACCTCCACCCACCGACTGCACCAGCCAAGAGTCAAGCTCTGCACAATGGGAGATGGGGCCTTCCAGGCAATTGCCCCACAACTCTGGAATGGCCTCCCAGAGTCCCTTAGGGTCCCACAGAGTGTGGAGGCGTTCAAGAAAGGCCTCAAGACATTTTTATTTAAAAAAGCCTTTGAACATTAGTTAGTATTTTATCTGTGTGGTTTTATGGTTATTTTACTGTTTTGTTTTTACTACGTATGTTATTTTATTGTAATGTCTCATTTTAACTATGTATGCTGTTTTTATTGTACGGTTTTGTTTTAACTATGAATTTTGTAGCACCAAGAGATTTTTTTTTTTTTAAATGTAAAGTGCAATACAAATAAAATGTATTATTATTATTATTATTAAAACCAGAAAACTATAGACCTATTGCTTTAACATCAAGTTTGAGTAAAATTATGGAGAAAATAATAAATGAAAGATTAATTTATTTTGTCGAATCCAAGGGATACTTTTCCAATTATCAATGTGGTTTTAGAAGAGGAAGGAACACTATTGATTCGATTCTTTGTTTGCAACATAAGGTAATAGAAGCACAAGTAAATAAAGTGTTCTGGCTGTATTTTTAGATATAGAAAAGGCGTATGATATGATGTGGAAAAACGGATTAATGATTAAGTTGGGAAAAATGGGTATTTGTGGAAGAATTTATCATTGGATGAGAATTTTTTAACAGGATGTATAATACAAGTAAGAGTTAATACAGGGTTTATACAGGAAGGAGGAACTCTAATTTAATGCTCTGTTAATGCTCTTACAAATAATTTTAATGCCATCAATAAGTACCCATTACTCTCATATTTATAAACAGGGCCAAATCATTTTTAATCTTTACCATCGACAGGCTAAAGCCATGTCCAGAATATCTCGTTTTCCAGCCACTTATGTTGAAATTAGCATTTTCCCATTCTCGTAGAACCAGTTAAGCTCCTTCTGTTTCTTTAGTGACATTAATTACTTGTGCAGTGACTTGTTCTTTCTATGTCTGAAACAAATAAAGGAGAGTGCTTGACAGCAGCTTCCTTTCTATCATTTACCAGCATTTTATATCTCTTCTACCAATCTCATGATCCGACCCTTTGTGGGCTTGCTGAATGCAGACAGACTTTTGGAGTCTGATAGGCCTATAAGTCGATGACCTCAGAACAATATTTGACAGCTACATTAATGTAGGATATCTGTGAAGATAACCAGTCATCCAGGTCATGTTCACTTTAGGCAAGTGACGTGACGCCTCTCATCCAAGAGGCTTCCTCAGTTCTAACTAATGATGGGGAGCACTGCTCTGAAATTAAACTTTTCAAGCTTGATTACTGTAGGAGGGTTCAACCCTCATGAATAAAAGTGAGATGATAATGAATAGTAACTTGCAAAATCACCATATGGTTCACTAATATAAAGCAGGCCATTCCTGTACTTGGAAGGAAGGTGCTGATTCATGCCTGTCCATATCAGAGTCACATTGACAGTAAATAAACAGAGTAGGAATTATTTCTTCCTCAATACAGCTAAAAGCAGAGTGCTTGGCATTGCATTTTTTGTCAAAAAGCAATTATGGAAACTATTGTGAGAAAAAATAAGACTGGATTCACCAGGATCCTCCATAGGATGCTAGTATGTAAAGCCTCTAAGCTGCTGCTCTCAAGCCACTTTACTCATGTGTTCACCCTCCTACAGTATCTGGATACTTTACAGCTTTAGATTTGAGTTGAAGTCTTTGCTGCCTCTGAAGGACACTATGCTTTGATGCAAAATGTTAGATTATCACTCTTCAGGAACTTTCATTCTCAACATTCTCAGCATTCCTCAGCTCCCCTTTGTTCATAATGCTTCATTTATATCATATTTATATATTTTAGCCACAAAGATGAAAACAAAAGGGTTGTGTGCTACAAGCTGTGACTGAGCAGAAAATGAAAAGTTGCTAAAAAGAAAAAGAAAAGTACAAGATTTAAACTAATGCTTCTAGCTTCAGGTTAACTTACATCTTTAATAATTCTTCTGATCTGAAACTGATCAAGTAAGAGTCGGGACTGTATCCGTTAAATCAATCCATCCATCCAGCTATTATCTGACATGCTTGTCCCAATTGGAGTAGCGAGGGGTGCTGGTGCCTATCTCCAGCTGTGTACGGGGAAGAGGCAGGGTACACTCTGGACAGGTCGCCAGATTCGTTAAATCTTTGTTGTCAATTAAAGAATACATTCAAATCATTGTTTTGGAAAATGAAGGAATGTGACAGTATCTTTCCACTTGTTCAGCATCAGCTGAATACTTCTTCATAAATAGAAACTGGTTGCAACTTTTTCAGCTGCTATTTGAAAGCCATGAAAAAATACTGCAAGATTAAAAACCCTGGAACACTATAGAATCTGATCTTAAACGCATTTGGCACAGCTATGCTTTAAAAATTCAATGTATTTGTTTTTTTATTTTTATCTTTGACTCACTCACCTTTTGCCATACATTCCCTGAGACGTTTTCCATGATTCGGCAGAGTTACTGTTCAGCTGTCATCACAGTGATGTTTTGGTCCCTTGTGGCGTCTCACTCCTCCACTGTCCACTTCACAGAGGGATTTAATGCAACTCTTAATGAGGTCTCTCTAGAGTTAAAGGGCTTAGTTTGTTACAATTGTCCATCCATCTTATGACCCAGAGAACCAGCAGCTCAGCTCCGTCCATCTGCTGCAGACTCTGTTTGTTGTATGCATGTGGGGCCAGCAGTGAGTGTGTATCAAAGCTCTTATTGTTGCTTTGAACAGGGGACAAAGACACAAGCATGCATTTCTCAGAACACAAAATAAAAAAAAAAACATACACAAAGGGACTCAGACACCTTGCTCCCAGAGGAATGCCCAATCTGAAGGATCTGAGGTCTTATCTACAGAAATAAATCTGGAATCTGGAGGGGAATTATTTATGAGACAGTCCAAGAAGCTATTTTTCTCTGGGAAGGGGGAGAGGGGCTGCAGCTCTGGTTTCAGCGTACCTGCTGTGGTTGCATGCTGTGCAGCATAACTGCAGCGTCACTGCCAGTGTGATTCAGCAGAGAGATACTAGGTCAGGACAGTGTGGGATTACCAGGTGTGACGTCGCCCTCATCTGGTAACACTGACGTTTTAATCTCCAGCAGATTAACCAGTGTTTTTTTTTTATTATTCTCATTATTTTCCCCCACTTATCTGTTATTTGGTAGGCTAGATTTTAATTCAATCTTATGGTAACAGTGTGGATTAGTAGCCAGATTACAGTATTATCAAATAAATAAGAAAGCATGTTAACACAAGTACATATAATGCCCATCTTCTTTAGTTTTAGATAGAATTAAAAAAAATGTGAACTTTCATTGTTCTGTGAGTTTTTATTTTTAATTATTAATCTGTATTAGAAACAAAGACAAACAGCCTGAAGTCACAGGGACTGAGAATCAGCCAAGAAAGACTGAACAGAGTGTTTGTTGTTCTTATTGTTGAGAAATTTGGTCAGCAGGATTCCATCCCTCCTCCTGGTCTTCATCAATACTGCTGACATTCTGCTGACTAACCCCCCCACTCATTCAAAAACGCACAGTCACATCATCAGGACTTCAATGGACAATGAGTTGCACGGGTTTAATCGGGCATTATCTTCAAGAGTAGGATGAGTTGCTATAATCTGTCAGTTTTAAACATATCAAACGTTTTTAAAACAGTGAGAAAAAAAAAAGGTTATTCAAAGGCACTGCACGCTATATAGATTCCCAATCTGTTTAAATATAATAGCAATTTAATATTTATTCCAGACAATAATATATAAAACTGAATTTTAAACCAAATCTTTAGCTTCTAAACCTATATAACACATTTTCAATATCCAGATTCCACATAAAAACAAATCAAATCACAAAAAGGGAAATACATACACTAACAAATAGGGAATCACAACTCCCTCTTGGAATTCAGATTTTACACCAGTGCAGCATTTCTTTGTTAATACACTGACTGAGTGGCATAGAGTGGATGTCATTGAAGCTGTTTGCAGCTTGTTCTTACAGGGATCGCTAACCTTAGAAAGCATGAGAATCTATTTATGTACCAACCCTGTCTAAAAGCCACAACTCAAAGCCTCATATCAGGAAGACTAGAGAGTCTAATCAGTGCACAGCTAACAGAGGCATGTGGCAGTGCAGCTGTGGCTTTGACACATTTCCCACAGCATTCTAATGATAACCGAGTGGGGAGCTGTGCTTTGAGGAACAAAGGAGCAAAATAGGGGTAAAAGACAAAAGTTTATTCTCAGGTTAAAAGTTTACATCTACAGGAAAATAAATAGTACCCTGCAAAGGCATGATCCTTTCTAAATTTTTTGAAACTTTTAATGTTTGTTTATTTTTATTTTTTTGTTATTGTTTTTTTTTTAGCGCTTGGTGGGTTTTGTCCAAAAAACAAAATAAATGTAGTGGGAGAAAAATAATTCACAGTTCACAGTTTAAAAAAAATGAATTAACTAAAACGTTGGGTTTGCTTCTGCATTTAGTCCTCTTTAATCTGACAACCTTAATAGAATGCAGTTTGGTAAACTGCCATCATATGTAACCTGGTTAAATGTAGTCCTGCTGTGTCAGATTGATCTCAGTGTGCATACAGCTACACTCTGAAGGCTTCGGATGCATGTTAGAAAACATCAGAAACTGAAAAAAGCAACATAGAAATCAGGGGATATATATATATGTATACATATATATATATATATATATATATATATATATATATATATATATATACATATATATATATATATATATATATATATATATATATATATATATATATATATATATATATGTATACATATATATATATACATATATATATATACATATATATATATATATATATATAAACTCAACTATGCTAAATGAAACCCCAAATATAACCTTTTGGACTACATGGAAATCCCTTTATAGTGTAAAAAAAACGTACCCTAAAAGTCACATTTAAGACCTAAGCCATTTGGTAAAACATGGTGGTAAAGGGATCATAGTATAGGGATGCATTTATTAAGCAGAGGCAGGGGAACTGGGCAAAGTAAATGAAAAAATGGATGGAGCTACAAGGTGAAGAATTATCTGAATGTCAAACTCTAGTATTTGGGGACCTCTAACCTGGAGATTTTGGATATCTCCCTTGTCCCACACCTGAAATCAAATGGCTTTATTACCTCCTCAGTTGAAATCAAATTCTAGAGTTATGCAAAGGATCTAATTATTTAATCAAAGTGTGATGAAGCAGAGACATGTGTGCAAAAGTCAGGACACCCTAGGACTGGATTTTAACACCCCTGTGCTAGAGGCTGCAAAAGACTTCAGACTGGAGCTCAGTTTCACCTTCAAGCAAGACAACAACCCTGAACGTAGCACACCAGCCAGTCCTGAAATGGGAGAGTAAAGAGCATGGTTGGAGGAGTGGCAGTCTAGCGCTTAGGGCATAGAGCTTGGAATCCTGAGGTTCTGAATTCAAGCCCCACTCCCACAGACTTCCACTCTAGATCTCTGAACAAAGACCCTTAACCACTGATTGCTCCCTGGGCGCCACACGATGGCAGCCCACTGCTCCCCAAGGGGATGGGTGAAATGCAGCAGTAAATTTTTCCTATAAAGTTCAATTATTATTATTATTACAAGGGCCTAAACAAAGTCCACCTCTAAACCCATTCTAACATATTTGGTAAATTTGAAAACAGATGTTACATACTCTCCAATAATTCAGTTTTTCTGCAAAGCCTGTAGAGACATACAACAGGCTTATAGATGGGCTAAAATAATAATTTTCCCTTGTGAAATGAAAATAAATAAAAAAAACAACAATGTGCAATTGTCTTTCTATTTGATTTTAATACACTGATCACATTTTGGTCACATTTTGCTTATTGTGGCTGTAATGGGGAAAAAAGGTAAAAAAAAAAAAAAAATATGTAAATTTAGGAAGCTCTGCGTGTGTTTATTGCAAAGACCTCTTGTTTAAACCATAAAAAGATCAACTTTTTGGGGAGGAAACAAGACCAGTTAGAATCTGAACAGCAACACATGACCTTCCAATAGTTCCAGAAAGAGCAAATATTAATCTAGCCTTGACCTGGACAAGCTGATCAGAATAGAAACTGCTATATGAAAATAAGGCCCCATAATATCCTCAAAGTTACAGTTGCAGTTAAATGTAAAAACACTCTAACACAGCTAGATCTTTTAAAAATGATTTATCATAGGAAGTTATTTTCCACTTGCAGGTCTTCCATATTCTGTGTTGATTCAAAGTAAATGACAGCCTTACATTTTCTAAGTGTTTATATGTTGTTTATACTTTGGACCACAGCTGCAATGAGGGCAGCACCTTTCCCACTGCCTTCCTCTGACGGCAGGAACGTCACATCGCACTGAGGAGCCATAACTCTTACTGTTTCTTTCACGACCTGAGAGAAACTACAAGCAGCAGGAGAAACAAAAAAGAAAGCATTGAGGAGGCAGTTTGGAGACTCTTTTTAAACATGACTCATGCAGCAGCAGTGATAGAGTAACTCACTGTGGATGCAGTTTGTACAGAGCACCGTCTACCCCCACAGTGATGCTCAGACGCTCCAGTCTGCGGTCTTCTCTGATCTTATCCACCACTGCTGCCATTCCTGCACCACACAGCTGAGCTGCACGGCGTGACACCGCTCCACACACCTGCACAACAACGAGAACCCTTATCCTTATTGCAAAAGTGACCAGCTGTGCCAGATGATACGATAGCTACACAGAAGTCATTACTTAACATCAAGATAAGGTTGCACAATTATTTAGAAAAGCTTTGAAAAGTTCAAACTTTTAACCTCTGTGGGCTATTTTTGTAGGTTTAAACTAGAAAAGAGGCCTGCATTCGACTGGGTTTGAACTCCGACCCACAATAAAGGCCACTACAGGATGGCCTCAGGGGGCCCATCTAGTCAAAGCAAATTCCTAACCACACAGAGGGCATCAACATGCAGAGGATATGACCTTGATGGCTGTTGAGGTTTCATCAGAGTGATTTTAAACACTTGGTAAAGATTTACTTTTATAAGAAGAGGTTTCAAGTAACAAAGCACAAATACTTTGTTACTGTACTTAAGCACACTTTTTAGATATCTATACTTTACTTAATTACTTATTTTTCTTCCTACTTCTGACTGCTACTCATTACATTTTCACACAATTATCTGTACTTTCTATTGGATGAGTCATATAACGCAAACACTCATTGGTTAGTTAAAGGCAATCATCAGAAGCAAGCAGGTGTTCTTCAAACTGCAAACGTGAATTGTCTATGCCATGCTACAATGTTGGATTCAGAAAAAGATGTCAAAATGTCTGAAAGGTCGGACACAGGCGAGAGCGTATCGGGAGATGGAGACCAATAAGACCTCCCTCATCCTTGGCCCTAACTCAAAGAATTTTTCGAAATAGTCAAAAAATTTAGCTTTCAATTCATATAGTGGCATCTAGCTGTTTTTTAAGGGTTTCTTTGTACTTTTATACTTTAAGTAGTTGTTGGAGCTCATACTTTTTCACTTTTACTTGAGTAAAGAGGTCAAGTTGATACTTCAACTTTTACCAGAGTGTTTTTAAACTGCAGTATCTATACTTCTACTCAAGTAACAAATGTGTGTACTTTTGACACCACTGTTTCTAAGTAATCTCAATTTGATCATTTACAAATTCCAAAAGCTTTAAAAATAGTTATAGTTTGTTTTACTTTAAATAGATTGTATTGATTGTGGCAGAGTCCAGAGGAGAATACTGTGTTGATTTAAGAGTATTTGTTCGAAATCACCAGAAAAAAATTTGTATGAAAATGATGCTCAGCATTTGGGTAATTCTTATGAGCAGAGACATAATGTTTTATTTATTCATAGCAGGATTTTCTGATGCCTTTAAGATCAGAACAGAAACAGTTTTGTAAAAATTAGAAACTTTAATGAAAGTCTGAATGTTACTCTAACATTAGGATATGTATTGTCATTTAAAAGAGATAGTGTAATTCAAGTAATACAAAATACACAAAAGATTGGTGTAAATACTTATTTTTTACATTTCTTTGGGGGGGGTAAAATTATATAAAAGAACTTTTCTTTGCCAGAGATAAATTATTCCTGCTCAAAATTACTAAAATCACGAAAATGCATCTCTCATGACTTTTATCATTACTCTGCATTTTAAAAGGCGTCTGCCTTGTTTAATGCTTAGGCTTTTCCTTGGTGCTCTACTCACTCTTTTAATTTGAGAACCAACACCTGGGTAGGATCAGAGCCTGGTAAGGGGTTTAAAAAGGTCTCAATTAAATGTCACTGCAGAATGGTCCCACAGTGAAGAATATTCAAGACCAATGCCAACATGCCCATGAAAGCTGAAAAGCTTCTTCATGTAAACCCTGGGGTGTGCTGTCCAGGGTGGGGCTATTGCTCAGGACAGACCACCCGTCTATCACAGTACAACACACAGACCCACAGGATAAACACACACACACACACACACACACACACACACACACACACACACACACACACACACACACCTGACCTGGGGTTCATTTAAAGTGACCCTCTGACATAACAAGTAGGTTTTGGGCTATAGGGAGAGAGCTGCAGTGCCCAGGTAAAACCACAATCTTGAAAACGTAAAATGTGATGCAGAGAGCGTCCTCAGCTGGAATTTGAACCCAGTAACTTATTTCTGCAAGGATATATAGTGGAAATACCTTTGAAAACACTTCCAAAAATTTCCCTTCCAGTTTGAAATATGATAAACAAATAATAAAATCTTTCCTTTAAGTCCCTGGAAACCTGGAAAGATTGATCCTTCTTAAGTTTTAATCAGATCAGATAATAGCATTTTAAATGCCCCTTCCTGGAAAAAAAATAATAAAATGCATATGAAGTTAAATTAGCCTAGTCCTTAATAGTTAGGGAATTCGGAATTGTTTTGAAAGATGAGGCATGAAAATCAATTAGATTTTCCCCTTTAGTGAGCTTCGTCCATCTTTCCTTTTTTAAATTTTTCTTTTTGTTCTTCTCTGGCTTCAGTTTGGAACGTTTCAATACATGTGAGCATCTTCAAGGGGAATTTTTCAGGGGTAAAGAAAATAACATTAGAGCCAATTTTTTTCCACCAAGACCTTTTTGTAGTTTCACTACTATGAAAAGCTGGGTGGTGTGAAGTAAAGGGATGCATAGGCATAAAGAGTCGTAAAATAAGAAATCCCGTCAGTCTATTCCAGACCCTAATCTGGTCTTAAGGCGCCAGTGAAATAATCAAATATGACCCCAGGTTTAAAAAAAACAAAACAAAACAAAAAAAAATACCAGAGATTCCATGGAGTCATATTTAGTTAAATAAACAGCAATAAAATAAAATAAAATAGAAAGATAAGGACAGAGACAACAAAAGAACTAAAGTAAAATCCAAGTATTTGAGGGGATGTATTATAATAGTCCCAAAGCTAGGCTATGTTGCTCTAAGCCTATCTATCAAACTCTTGTTTTTAAAGGGGAGTTGAAATACTTGCCAAAATAAAATAAAAAAAGAAGGAGGAAATTTTTAAGGAAGTGTGTGAGGAGAGCAAAAGGATTCCACTTGGTGGGGGCTTTAATGGAAAAGTCCTAAACCCTATATGTAACCCACTGGGACTTGAAAATAATCCACAAAGCTCTGCCTGCATATCTTTCCATCAGGGGGGGATCAGTTTGTTGCTTCATTCAAACAACAGGAAGAAAAGTTTCCATCAGACAGCTGTTTCAGTGACGAGAAAAGAAAAACAAAACAACAAATCGCTCCCTAAAATAAGGAAATGCTATCATGAACAGTTTATTACATCATTATATATGTAATTTCAATTACATTGATCTTAAATGAGTGTATAAATACAAATTATAAAACTAGATTGTTGCTGCCACCTTCTGGTCATCCTAACTGTAGGCCCAAACTCATCCACTATTTCCCCATTGTGGGACAGTAAAGGGATATTCTATTCTATTCTATTCTATTCTATTCTATTCTATTCTATTCTATTCTATTCTATTCTATTCCGTCTCTGTTTCTTGTTAAACCTTTATTGGAGCTAAGAGGGAAAAGGTGTAAACGTTGGATGTTCTCTTTTTGATTGTTGACAATTTCAATCATTTTGCACCACATTTAAAGTTCAATTTAACCAAACAACAATAGGAAGACATTCTATTTACCAACGGTCAAAGTGTGTTTTCTCAGCATTATGACAAACTACTAATGGGAATGTCAGAGTCTCTAAAGATACTTATAGTCTTTTATAAATAAAAAAAAAATGTCATTGAGTAAAGGTCTGTGACCTTCTACAGCCATTAAACATGGCTTTGACTCGTTGCATTTTAGCTTCCTACCTCTTTGACAATAATGCTGTCGCCACTTGTGCCACGCAGCCCCAGCCGCTGCAGTATAGATCTGACCTGCAGCAGAGCCAAGCGATCACTTGGCAAAGGAAACACAGAGCAGCAAATGTTTAATTTAACACAAGTGAAGCTAGGAAAAAGGGAATGTATCTGGAATATTCGTAAACAGATTTTTCTACCTCTCTATTTGTGAAAGATATTTTGTTTCAAATATCCCAGGGGTTTTTAATGGTTCGGTGACATGTCCTTTGAACAGTAGTCCTCGTCTGGTGAGATCCAGTAAAACCTGTCTGACAATTTCACCCAGGTACATCCCACCGGTCATCTTTTCAAACCTAAACATGAAGCAAAGGGAAATGACTTGTTTCTGTTGCTTAAAGGAGTACAGTAAAGATTGGGGGATATTTGATCACCTTTGCTTTCCCGGGTTTACTGAGTGTATATCCACCTCTGCGTCATAAGGATTGATGATGTCATCCAGACAGTGGTCGTCACCCAGACCGCCCCACTCTGTGTTTATGCACATTTTGGATTCGTCAGCCTCCACATTTGACTTCTCTGGCTTCATCGCATGGTTCTGCAGAGTGGAAGCAAAAGCACCAATATGATCACTTTAGCTCTGACATTTACTTAAATCTGCTTCTTTACCTCTTCCTGCTCTTTGTCTTTCTTTGCGGTGCCATGGCCCTGTTTCAGCTTTTCAATGTTCTTCACTTCCTCCATGTAGCAGAGGTTTGATCCTGTTCCTGAAACCATAGAGCATCATCGACTTGAACCAAAGTTTACTTCTTCTCAATAGAAACACGTTATAATATTTCTTTTGGATACTGCCTCTTAAATTGTCTAGGTTGAATTCAGAGCTAAGATTTCCCACTCATGCCTGTCTATAAACCTTCATGCTTTCATGATCACAGTCTCAAAGACTGATAAAAATGGTCTCTGTAGAGACTCCAGAGCTGCTATCCACCTCCAAGATAGTGTGACATACCTGCAATCATTCCAATTTCACACTGAGGATCCTCATAGGCGCAGCTCATCATAGTCCCAACCGTGTCATTTACTAATGCAACAATGTCCAGGTCAAACTCCTGGAGACACAAACAGGAATCATCATAAACTGAATTAGGTTTGCTTTGCAAACATATTCATGCCCTTGAAAGTATATTTTAGCCCTTTAACACCCTGGTCAACTAAACAGGACATCATTTTCACAGGAAAATGCAGGCTGGGGTTGGACAAAGACATTAAAGGGTTAAAATACTGTCACATTTCTAAAACTTTTTTTTTTTTCATTTTGGCATTGGCATTTTTATGATTTTAAAAGGTCTAAAATAAAAATAAGGTTTAGAAAGAGGGAGAAAGATATGCAGCAGTGGATAACTATTTTATTCTGATGTCATGATAGATGGACATAAAGTAGAAGTAATTGTAATAAAGGTTTTCAAATATTTTCACCAACAAAGAAAAGAAGAGAGTAGTTTGAATTTATATTTGGTCCCCTTTTATTCAATGCCCCTGAAGAAAATCCAGAACAACCAAAAGACCCCTTATGTGTTATGTAACCTCAGCATAAATACAGCTTTTATGTAGATATCTCTACATCTCTATCATCTAAATTTTAAATAAAATTAAGTAGGGGCTCAAAAGTAAAAAGAAAATTCTTTAGAAAACTGCCCATCATTTGAAAATAGATCCTGCTAAAAAGACAGGCTGCTTCTGTCCAAACAGAACATGTCTATTTGTGGGGGAAAACAATTTTCATCCTCAATATGAAACATGGAGATGGCTGTATCATGCTGTGGTGATGCTTTTTCCTACAACAAAAGCAGGCTTGATGGGGTAATTGGTGGAGTTACTACATTAGAATCAGGGGATAAATCTGTTAAAAGATGCGAAAGTCTTCAGAGAAGTGAAGACCGTCGCCTCCCACTAAGACAAAACCAACCCCAGAGATGCAGTCAGAGCTGCAATGAGTGATTTTGATCAAACCATAACCCAGTTCAGGTCCAACACAAAATCCAAATGAATATTATAACAAAGCGTTTGCTTAGTTATAATATTCATTTGGTACTCAGAGATTCACTTCCATACAGAAACCCCACATTCATATCTTCAGGTAACACAGAGTACATGTCAGACTTAATAATATTACTTTAGCAATAGTTTAAAGGTGTTGCTTTATTGTATGTCTTGTACCATGTCTTTCCGTTGTGCTGTTCTTTTTTCATCTCGTTACAGGTGATGAAGCAGACTGAAAATGTTTTGTCATTATCTCCTTTCTATCTCTTCTTTCTTTCATATTTTCTCTTTTTTTTCTTTTTTCCTTTTCTTCTTCTGTTTTTCTGCTCTATTTATATTGCAGTGTCCATATAAACTGTAAAACTCCCTGCGTAATTATAATAAAGCAAATTTATATGCATGAAACAAGTGGAGCTATATGGCAATTGCCATACTGCTCCACTTGTGAAAGTAAAATCTGTTGGGCTCTTTTTGGCGTCAAGACAATTATTCTTATTGCCACATTGCCAGACAGGACACTGTAAAAAAAAATAAATAAAAATAACTAAGCGTTTGAAAATTATGGTTTTAAACTATGCAACATTTTTCAGTTAATTAATGTGTTCCATAACGTTATGGATGACTAAATGAGTCATTTCAGGTTGAACAAAGGTATTCTCGGCCGCCCTGGTGGTCTGTGGGGGAAATACCGCACTTGCAATTGCAGGAGCACCGACCCGCACCCACAGGCTCAGAAGTCTCGTGAGAGTCAGTCTTGCTTTACGGCGAGAACTGCTACACCCCCCAGTTAAAAGCATGCTCGTTGCTAGCACAGTGGCAATCTTTGTGCAGTTATGCTACGTTCACGCAGCAAAAGCAGCAAAATCGCGTCTGCTGCTTCCTTTTTGCTGCTTGTACCAGTTAGTTCTGACGCGCGGCTGAAGCAGCTTTGCTGCTCTGGCTGCAAAAGTGTGTCTGAGGCGCGTTGGGCGGAGCTTCACTATCCTTTCTCTGCCTTGCAGCTATATTTGCTGTGATCAGTGGGAATAAAGTAGTTTTAATATGTGTTTAAGTGAGAAAATACACCTGAAAACGTAATCAGTGCCGTCAGTTCATTCAGATTATCATCCTGCCTTCAATATGTTTTCTGTCGGAGCCGCTCAGACCCCAACATACCAGCGGGGCGCCAACAGTATGGATCCCTTCATCAGCAGTGGTTCACCACGGCAGCTGGTAGGTGTTTTTCATCTAAATAATCCAAACTGCATATTCTGCCGGCAGATTTCTGCATTTTAAGTTAATTTAGGCGTCAATAAACTGTTTAAGAGGAGTGATCATCAGCGCTGTGTCTCTCTCCCTGCGTTAAACGCACCCGACGCACTGCTTCAGCTGCTCAGACGCGCTGCGCCTGGTGCTCAAAACGCGCCGCGGGACCTTTTGCTGCGCCTTGAAGCGCGTCAACCATTGACTTTGCATGTAAACTCGCTGCTTCTGTCGCGCCAGCTACGTCCAGTGTGGACGCAGCGTTAGTCATTCGCTGCTAAGCTCAAAACAACCGCGCCTGGCTTGACGGAGAAACCAGGAGAACAGCTGTGCATATTTACGACAGTGCACTTTTACTTTCGCCCTCTGGAGGGAGCCTCACTGGAAAATCAACACCGGTTGCATAGTGTACCTTTAAGACAATATCTGTCAAACCAGTTTGAGGTTTCTGGAAATAACAACGGGAAGACACATGTTGCTCTCTATGTGCAGGTAGATCTATATCCTGAGAAAGAAATCATTAAATGTAGCAAAATTCAGTTGATCAAAGTTATTGTTAGTAACAAAAAATCTGAAAACATATGAAAAAGTTCCACACATATTTTTTGACAGGATGTATACACACTGATATATGCACACAGGAATTATATAAATGGGTATACACACAAACACCACAGGACATTTCAAAGGGCTTCATTCTATTATTGAATATAAAAAAGACGGAAAATCTATGCTTTCCCCTTTTGTGTTAAACCTTAAATTTTTTCCTAGAGGTTTTAGCATCTAGACTCACGTTTCGTCTCTTGATGGCATCTCTGAGCATGAAAACAACATCCTGTCCTACGCAGTCTGTGGCCTTGAAGCCTTTAGTCCAGCTTACCAGGGTGCCCTAAATAAAAAAAAATAATCAATGCAAGCATTTGATTCAGGCAAATTTAAATAGGCAAAATAATCCTGGATTCTTTTATTTTAGAAAAGGCTAAAAACCTACTTTATTAATACCAGACTGCTCACAAGGGAAAGAGAAGGTGAAGCCAGCAGGCAGACATGCCTTCTTCAGCCCCATGTAGTCCAGGAAGTCACAGACACACTGAGCCAAGTGGTCAAACAACTGAAGCCAACCAGAAAAAGACATTTCAGATATCACTGAACGTAGATAGATATTTTTCTCTGCTGTAACTGCTGTAACTTATTTGGACAAACTGATATTTATAGCTGATTCTTCTGTCTTATGATTTTGTTTGAAGTATTTGAATATAATGGTATGAAGGCTGTCTCACCTCTTCTCCAGTTCCTTGCATTATCTCCAGCGGAATGGTATAAATCTTATGGTAAAGTTGGGATTTATGTCTTTTGAATCTCACAAGCATAGCTCTGAAGTTTGTCCCTCCAAGATCCAAAGCAAGGTAATTTCCATTTTCTGAAGCACAAAATGTATTTCATTATGAACCGACTATTTTACAGCAGAAGTGGAGTCAGGTTTCAGCTGAGGGGAAGATGATGGAGGGAACAACAACTTTAAAACAGGTGAGGTAAAGTTTGCTTTCATACCTGTGCCGTCTGGTGTGTGGTATACAAAGGAGGGAAGCATTTTTACTGTGCAGCCTTTACCCCTGAGCCCAGCCTCCAGCCCTTCTCTCATCCTAGATTTTACCAGCTGCAGCTGCTGCTGGTTTAGTCTGAAGAGAGACAGCGCCTCATCCACCTTTGGTAATAGAGTTAAAGCTTGTCATATCTCAACAATACAAAGGAGGAGCATTTTTAGTTCACCTGTAAAGACAAATGTTCATGCTTTTAGAGGACATTCTCACCCTTCTTCTCTGTGATGTCAGACGCTGAGCTACTGCTGCCACCAGGGCGGCACCTTTGCTGCTACCACTCTCTGAGAGAGCAAACCTGACCTGACAATCGGGAAGCAGCCGCCGCACAACTTTATGAAGGCGTTTAGGATACCTGAAAAAGTATAGAGGTTTTTGTAAGAAAAGCAGCAATTCTGAGGTGGTAAAAATATGACTGATGATTTAACACTGCAAAATCTGGAAGTTGTTCACAGCTTTTAAGTTTAGTATGAATTTGACAGACCAACTCATGAGGTGCTAAGCCCAGAGGGACATACAACAAAATTCCTGCAGGAAAAGCTGCTTCTACCAAATAGTGGCCCAGAGAGCTCCTTAACAAAACATATTTTGCAGGTTTGTTTTATATATAAATATATATATAAAAAAATTAAAAGTTGGAGGAGAATTCTGCATAAAATTCAAATTAAATGCAACAGATGGAGTAAAATAATAAAATGCTAAAGATGTACAAATGCTTTTGCAAGACTCAATCTCCTGCAAATCAAAATTATATTAAAAAACAAAAACAAAACAAAAACAATTAAAGGGTCATGATAAAGGACTCAACAATCATTTCCATCCATCCATCCATCCATCCATCCATCCATCCATCCATCCATCCATCCATCCACTTCCCCTTTATCGGGATGGGGTCGCGGAGGCAGCAGTCTAAATCATTTTAAATCTTAAATGTTAAATGTAAAAATGATAGGTTTTGGAATTTATTATTAAAAGTAATTATAAAATGGAAACAAAATGCATGTAACAGTAAATATGTGAGGCACAATGAATAAATATAAGCAATCCTCATTAATTGTCTGTAGATTTGATTTGACTCTTGTTTCTCTTTTGGATAAACAAACGCTTATTTTTTCAAAGTTGAATCATTATACTCTAAAAAATATTGTTTTTTTTTTGTTGTTGTTTTTTAATATTTAGTTTTCATTGCCAATTTATTTGCAGTTATAAACTGATCTACTCCATAAATGTTGATAATGAGGTCTCTGCGAAGACTTACTGTGGGTGCGTTTTGTATAGAGTACCATCAACGCCTACTGTGATTTTCAATCCTCTCAAATTCCGGTTCTGCCTGATCCGAGTTAAGATGGCTGCCAGCCCGGCAGCCACCAGATTGGAGGACCTGAAGGAGACGATGGTGCTGACGTGCTGAACAGCGATGCAGTCGTCAGGTGAAGGACTCAAATGAAGGCGAGTCAAAATGTCCTTGGTGTTTTTCAGACCATTTCTGTTCCTAAAGAAAAAAAAAAGATACATAAAAGATTGGAGTTCTTAAAGTTGTCAGATGCTCTGAAGAGGAGACATGATGTCTGCATACTCCTCCATCGCTGCTACATCTGCAGTGGTTATATTCCCTTTGGTCCTCAGGGCATCGGACACACGCCCATCAAACAGCAGTCCCAGTTTAGCCATCTTTAAAACAACCAGCCTCACCAGCTCTCCCAAATACATCCCACTGACCATCTTCTCAAATCTATAAAACATTAGAAATATCATTTTAGAACAGAGGTCAAAAGGGTCAAAAGGTGTTAAACATTCTATGAAGCATCAGAGACAAAAACAAAACGGTTTCACTGACGTTTGTTGTCCAGGGTTGAGGGAGGCTGCATCAACATCTCTGTCAAACTCTGTAATGAAATCATCCAAAGCCCCATCATCTCCAAACCCCCCCCACTCAGTGTTCACACACATCCGGCCCTCATCTCCTTCCACCAGGTCGATGTGACGCAGCTCTTCCATGTAGCAGACATTGGTACCAGTTCCTACGCACACAAACACACACATTTGATCTACATCCTGAGCCTTGGATGGCTTTGTACTCCTTTAATCTCACTATAAGTGCAGCTGCTCTATGAGGATGCACTTCTATAGCAGCGACAAAGAACCTGATGAGAGTAGATGGGAAGATGGATGGAGCTCAACACATTGAAATCACAGAGGAAAACCTGTAAGTGGTCCCAAAAGACTTAACACTGGGCAAAGACTCTAAATATAAACCCATACAACAGAGGTGCTTATCCCAAAGCAAACACAGATTGAGTTAAAATAAAAATAAATTGAACTTTATTGATCTCACAATGGAGAAATCAACTCTCTGCATTCAACCCGTCTCCTTTGGGGAGCAGAGGGCTGCCACTGTGCAGCACCTTTGGGAGCAATCAGTGGTTAAGGACCTTGCTCAGGGAACCAGGGTAGCAGTCTGTGGGAGTGGGTTTCAAACTCACATCCTCTGGATTCAAAGCCCTATGCCCTAATCACTAGGTCACCACTCCCCAGTTATTTTTGCAACATAAAACAGCCAAAGCCGTCTATTTTAATCTAAGTCTATTTTCTCCCAATTTGGAAAATGTTATGTTATGATATATAAAAGTATAATATAAAGTATATTATATAGATATTATATAAAGTATAAACTTCCCTTTATCCCTCTATCCAAGCAGGTTTAGTTCCTACTGTATGCTCCACTTATCTGGAACAGACTTCCACAAGACTTTAAAAGTCAAAGTTAAAAACCCATTTGTTTAGAGCTATACTTGACTTTTGAGGTTAAACTGTTAACTGTTAAGTTTTATTAGTTCATATTTGTAGTCCAACTGCATTATTTACTTTATTACCTGCTTTTATCATGTTTTTATTTCCACCCCCTTTTATTCTGCTTTCCTGTTCCATTCATGTAAAGCCCTCAGTACTGAATTGTGCTATAAATAAACTTGCCTTACAGATATCTATTTTGCCAACAACATTAAAAAAAGCACTGCACTTTGTCCTTTGAATTACAAACAGAAAATATACAAGGATAGCCACAAAAAACCACTAGAGGGAGTTGTTTTATTAAATTTGTCTTATAGCTGAAGCAATATTTTCACATCTGTATTAAAGCATATTATTTAAGGCTGTGCTGTGAAGCAGGAGGAAGTCAATTTGCTGCATCAACTCTCCACAAAATAGACATACTCTAATAGGACAAACAAAACAGGAAAACAAAACAGCCAGGATCTATAACAAAAAACTAGCAATAAAATAAAAAAATTATATCAAACCAGTGAAAAATATAACCTTTATCTTCCCTCAGATTTAAGGTTGGTGTGTTTGGTGATAACAGCTTACTTGATCATATTTGATCAGCCTAAATTTAGACAAAAAAGTATTGCATGACTTGTAATAAAACAATAGAAAAGTGCAGCGAATAAGTGGATTATATTTGAACACAGTTAAAAGGCGCTGTTTGATCAGAAGGGGACCAATGAAAATATTCTCACCAATGATGAGTCCTACTTCACAACACTGGTCATCAAATCCACAGGTCATCATGGTCGCCACGGTGTCATTAACCATCGCCAGGACCTCTACGTCCATATCCTGCAGGGTTTAGGAGGTAAAGATACCTCATGGAAAAGGTCTGCATATGCCTATAATGGTTAAGCATGCAAAGAATAGGCTACGTGGTTAATTTCATGGGAATTTATTTTACTCAAGTGGTCAAGTTGTGCCATAAAACTTCTGCTTGATATTTTGTTGTTTGGATACATTTTGAGTTTTCATCTGCTGTATGCCACATCATTGAAGTAGGTTTATAAAATATCTCTTTATGTAAAAGTAATCTAGTTCCGTTTCAGATTTGGAAAAAATAATTGAAATAGATCTGCTCTTTGATTCTGTTGTAGTTCATTATGATAGGGGATATGACTATATTAAAGAAACCTACTAAAAGATAAAGTAAATATTGCTAGATATTGTCTCTGAGGGCCTTTTTGGACATTCAGCATCAAGCCCAACAGCTGGTGGAGGACATTTGTGTCATACCCCAGTTCTGCCAATAGCCTCTTTAAGCGCCTGGACCACATCTTTCCCCTGAAGGCCCCGAACTCTGTAATTCTTTCCCCAGCTGACGGATAATCCCTGCAGAGCAAATAGAATAAGTTAGAAGGGGAAAAAAGAAATAAATGAGGATGAAAACTAGAGGAGTAAATTACACAGCTGGACAAAAAAAATCAAATGTTGGGATGAAGGATGTCCTACCTGATCCAAACTAGGGTGCTCACAGGGGAAAGAGAAGGTAAAGGCTAACAGATGTTTATTTGATGGACTGATATTCTTTTCATGCAGAAAATCCTTCAGAGATTCTGAGACATGGTCGAATAACTACAAATGAAAAATAAAACAAAGAAGATAGAATTGGAATATAAAGAAAAAAGGCCTCACCTTCTGCTCTGTTTGCAACCAAATCTGTGGGTTTTTTTGTTTTTACCTCAGCAGCTTTCCCGGCATGCAGCTCATTTGGTATCGGATAAGTCTTCTCCTCCATCTCTACTCCTCCCTTTTTTATTCCTACATCCTCTCTGACTTTAACTCTAAGAACCTTAAAGTTGGAGCCTCCAAGATCTAGAGCCAGAAACTCTCCTTTCTCTGCAGAGAAACAAAACATGTCAGTCACCTGCTGCTGTTTTTTGTTTTGGTTTTTCCCCCACAGTTCAGTGGTTTATACATGTAAATTAAACTAAGATGTACAACCTGATCCATCAGGAGTGGAGCGAACTTGTGTCGGTAGCATTTTCACTGCTGCAGCTGCAGTACTTTCTGCTGAAAGGCCTTTCTTCATTTCAGCCAGAAAACGTTTTGAGATGTCACTTAACCGATCGTCATGGAGACGCATCGCATGCAGGAACCTGTCCACCTTTGAAGGTAAAAGCAGAGGGGAGAAAATCAGCTAAGTAAAAAGAAACTATGCTGAACTGATTCTTTTTTTTTTTCAATAAGACTGGAGAAAAAAAGTGGAAAAACAGCAAATTACAATTAAAATAAAGACGAAAAATATTTTTTTTGTTCATTTAAAGCATATTTTCAACCTTCATGGCATAAGTATTATATTAAGCCTCTCTTAACAGATATTTATTAGATTTATGTCCAATATCTTACATAATAGAGATGCAGGGAAATAATTATCCAATAGATAATAATTGCACCATAAAATACATTACATCAGACCACATTAAACCTGCATCTTAACTATACAAGGGGATCTATAGCTTCAAAATATTTCTAACTCTTGAATATATTCACATTTTGTCATATTACAACCACAAATCTTAAATGCCATTTTCTTTTTTAAATTAAAATTAGAGAATAAATGCGTTGTAAATGTGGTAATGTGGCCTTTTTGTTAAGTTGTTGCATGTTTTCTAATTTTGGATTTTCTTTATTTTTGAACTTGTTTGCTTGTTTTCAATTTTGTGTGTTGCGTGTTTTTTTGGATTTTGTTTGGAGGCCACATTGCCACACACACCTGGACACGCCCACAACGGCACAGGTGTTCCCAATCAACTAAGCAGCGTGCCGACTGGGACGCTGATTTAAAAAAGGGCAGCTGCTTGGTTGGAGGGACAGACACCGGACATGGGAAGGTTTGGTTGGGGAAGGCCGATCTTGGAGGGAGCCGGACGGAGCGAGTGAGAGGGAAGCAGCGGGAGAGCCTTGGGGACTGACGGCAGGAGGCCCGCCGGAGCGAGGTGGAGAGACGCGCACCGGAGAGAGAGACGCGCACCGGAGAGAGAGACGCGCACCGGAGAGAGAGACGCGCACCGGAGAGAGAGACGCGCGCCGGAGAGGGAGACGCGCGCCGGAGAGAGAGACGCGCACCGGAGAGAGAGACGCGCACCGGACAGAGAGACGCGCACCGGAGAGGAGCGCGCCGGAGAGACGCGCACCGGAGCGAGCGAGGTGCAGGGACGCGCACCGGAGCAAGGTGCAAGGACGCACGCCGGAGAGACGCTCACCGGAGCGGGGTGCAGAGAGGCCCGTCATGGAGCGAGGCGCAGAGGCACGCTGGCGAGAGGCGCGTGTTGGAGGAGACCTCGCAGGCCAGCTACGCTGGAGAGGCCCACACGCGCAGCGTGCCGAAACGAGGACCCAGCGCTGGGGTGGACGGTGCCCTCCATTATACCCGCCAAGTGCGCGTCTTTTAACAGACTTCCCCATTGACTCTGCTGCTCTCCACCATCTGGATTTTTATCTTTCTTTTTAATCTTTTCTCTTTTATCTATCTTTTTTTTTATCTTTTTCCTTTTAACGTATTTTATTGAACACTTTTAGCGAGCTCGTCTTTTTACGTAAATTATTGAACTTTTAATCTATTAAACTTTTTAAGGCCCTGCTCACAATCGCCGCAGTCTGTTTGGTTTTTATGTTTTTTTTAAAGATGATCGCACCTCTCGGGTGCCACATAAATGTGATTCAGCCTCATTTACTCTAATACTAATGAGGAAAATAGACATTGATTTAGTATTTAAAAAAATCCTCCTGTTTGTGATTTGATATCAGTATAAATGCAACTGTCGTGTAACATTATTTAACCTCCTGACTATCAGTAATTCATATCTGTCCTCTGTAGAGGACATTAATAAACCTGAATATCTTATTTTGCTATCTGCAGAACATATTTATGACTTTTCAATGATACCGGACATAAAGGGGTGGAGCTTTGGAGCATTTCTCTTTCTCATTCAGGAAAATGACATCTGTCAGTAGAATAGACTTTTATCTGAGACACTGCCTTCATGGTGAGCTTATCAAACCACTTCTTCTGATAACTTAAGCAAACTGCACCACCCCTGCAGTCCAGATTTGTCTCCTCAGTCTGCTCTGACCCTTCCAATAAAGAGAATCCATGCTGATTCCTGTTCAGTTCATTGTTCAAATCAAATTTATAAATCACATTTAAAACAACAGATTGTTACTAAAGTTTTATACAACAAAAGGTAAAGACTGCAGTTTCATTTAATGTGTTACATGTGATCTAAAGACATCATAAGAGAACTAGACATAAAACAAGTTGGAAAATATTTTGTTTTTAATAGATACCTAAAAAATGAAAGTGAAGAAGCCTTTCCAATATTGAAAGAGAGAATTTTCCAGGACTCAGCTGAGACTGAAAAAGTCTGATCTCCTCTAACTGTTAGACTAGATTTTAGGACCCAAGCAGCTAATCAGATGATCCAAGTGCCTGAGAAGAAAGGCAATGCTGAACTAGGTCATAGAGGTATAAAGGTGCAAGGTCCTGTGGCATTTTATAGGTCAGCAAGATAACTTTAAGATAAGACAGGATTAAACCAGTGAAATGTGTAAAATTACAGTCATGAGATGAGCTTCAGAATTATGGACAAGCTGAGGACAAGAAAATGACACCTGGCCAACTACAACTTAAAATTTAATGCAGTATTAAGGTCAGGTTTAAAAAAAAATGAAAATAATTCAAGCTCAGGTATGGTTAGCACTGACTGAAATCTAGCATATCGTGTGTTAGATTGGCCCAGTCAAAGTTTAGACCTAAATCTAGAATCTATAGCTTGAAAAGAGATGTTTAAAATAACCCTCCATGCAAGCTGACAGAGCTAGAACTATTCTGCAGAGAATGGGAGAAATGTACTTGCAGCCTGAATGACAACAAATCGACCTACAGTGTAACCTCTGCATGCATAAGGGAGCTACACAATGTTTTATTCATTTTATATATGCAGTAAAACCAGATTTTTTTGTTCAGTATTAAAATAAACCATAAAGTAGACATCCATGTTGCTCTATCACATAAAAATGATAAAACACATTATATATTTTGGTTCCTAAGTGACAAAATGTTGAAGCGGTATTAATACCCTATTTTGATATTTAGATCACTGCAGATACGTATTTATAGACTTATTATTCTCGAACTATGACATAGTCTGACTTTTAGTTTCAAGAACTTGTGATCTTGAGTTTAAAAGCCATAACCAACCAATTTCTTTTTGCTCCCTTTAGATTTAATGGTGTGAATATAATGCATATTCTCTTGCTAATGTAATTAGTATTTTAATGTTTTAATCTAATCTTAATCAGAGAAGAAATGGTTAATCAAATAATATGTGGTTGTAAAAGTAGTCAGGATGCTTTATTATAATAAACAGAGAAAATATTGAGCCACCGGTTGCTGCAGTGGCTCATTTAATAGTCATTAACAAGAAATAATCAAAGAATGAATTAAAGTAAACCTAGAGCTTTATTATTTTTGCTAAGTAAACAGAAAAAATGGCAAAATAAGATACAATTCAGAGCAAAATGTAGACATAGGCTCTTAACATCTAAATATCAGGATATGTTTCACTGAGTATCTTAGTATCCAGTATTTTCTAATGTCCTATCGCTGCTTGACTTTCAATGTATGCATCATTACAGGGAGTGTCAGAACTTTGTCCCTGTGGGACAGAGGTGTACAGCAGCTTTGAGAGAAATGTGTTAATGATTGCTAAGGACCACAATAACTGATTATTACTGTTACGTTTAATTTCAGTTTGCTGGTATGCATTTAACCTAGATTTAATGAAAATGTAAGGAAATATATTTGAATTTCAAGAATTATTTATAGGATACATGTTTGGGATTTATTCTCAAAGTCAAAATAAGAGAATCTCCTCTTAAGGTGTGAACTACAAGGAAAGGAAGACTTGATAGACCTGGAATAAATTGATTTCAACAGCTTAAGCAACGCCTATGATTAAGATTTACCTCTTTGTAATAATTCAAATAACTCTTACCTTCTTAGTAGGATCCTCCTGAAGTTTGGAGAAGAAAAATGAAACTAGATGAACAGCTAACATCTTTAAACAGGCAGAACACAAAATGGATTTTTGTCTCAAGTGTGCAGCTATCAGTGCGCTAAGAATGAAAAAAACAGACTGAAATAATAGTTAAAAAACTGTCCAATAAACGTTGTTGCTGCACATCCTCTGAGCGGCGATCAACCTCTGCACCAACTCAATGATTAACAAGCCAACCACCTCTTCATCATGGCTACCTGTGCACTTACCATCACACGTGGCCCGCCACCGCCTTCCTTTATGGACTATGGATTCTTTGCTACCATTAGATGCCATTTTAGACATTTAATGGATGATTCAATTATTTTTAATGATCTTATTTTTCTCTACAGTAATTCAGTCTTTTAAAATTTGGAGTCAGAATAAAAGAAAAATACCATAGAGTGATATTTGACTTTGATATTTGTTCATGTTGAGAAACCTTAAAACCAATGAGAAAATCCAAAAAGCTCAAAATATTTTATTGGCAAATATCTGCTTATATACAGACATGATAAATACAGAGTTTCACCTTCCTTGTGTGTGGATCACAAACAAGAACCAGAGACTCCTCATTGCATCACTATAACATATCAAACTTTTCTGTAGTGATGAAGAAAAAAAACCTACATATTAAATGTAATTGAAATGTTTTCTGCTATAGAACAGCTATTATGCCACCATTTTCCAATCTTCACTTTTGCTTTCCAACTAGACCCACAGTTAAAACAGAGAGGTTTGTGGGTAGCGAATGGGCTTTTTCTATGCATTTTATTTAGTTTGCAAAACTAACTAAGAAGTTGAGGGAATCCTGCACAGAAGCATTTTCTATTCCAGTTTCACCATTAGCAGTTGAAGTTGAGCAAAATAAGTGTGAAAATATTCAACAGCCCATTAAGTTGCCTGACTCTCGTTCCCAGCCAAATGTCCTGAATTAAACACTTCTGTTGTGTCTACCTGTACTCATTTCTGCAGGAAAAGAAAAAAGTTCAGGATTCCTGTGTTTTTAATGTATGAATTCAAGAGAAAGTTTTCCAAATCTTTCTTGGTCATTCTTGTCAGTTTTGATATACGAGATTCTTGGGAAGGAAGGAACAGAATTCTTCATGGAAAATTCTGAAATACATTCCCGCATTTTCCCAGGATGTGTAGAAGCCTTGTCCTCTTTAAATGAGCCACCAGCAGAGATGTATTCCTGAATTCTGCAACATTTTAAGGATTGCTGACTTGCACCAGTTCTGAGTATTTATTTATTTCTTCTTTTTCCTTTTTCCTTTGGCACTGTTCTTATTGATCTCTGTGCTGAGGGCACTCTGGCTGCCACCTTCCTGCCTTTGGCTCTTGGACCACTCCCTCTGCAGCTGCTTCAGCAGGTCAGGAGTCAACAGTCCATCTCTCACAAGCCGGCTAGCTAGAGATTTCTCCATCATCTCCACAGAGCTTCTCTGACCTCTGCTTCTGTTCGGGAGCATCCCGCTGGCAGTTCCAGCTTCAGTTTGCTCAGAAGTGTTGCGTTTTGGCTGCAGCGGGTCGGTAATGTTTGGGTCAGTGGCTCGGATCAGGCGGGTGATGTTTCGGACGCCCTGCTGGATGATGTCGTCGAGTTCCCGCTGAATCCCTCGGATCAGAGCAGTGTCTGGAAACATATCCATAAAACGGTAGCTATAGGGGCGAAGAGAGCGAAGACAATGAAAAAGGATTAGAACGGTCGGTATTCAGACAAAATCCAGGTCCATAAATTCATCACAGAAGCAGATTACCTTAACCAGAGGTATAGATCCAGAACATCATGCACAGCTTCTAGGTGAACCAGGTCTTTGATGTTTTTGGGTGCAGCCAGAGGCCAGCTGATGTGACGGCAGACCCAATCAAAGGTCAGGGGCTCGTCCCGACTGAACTGACGTGCAAACTAAAAATGGCAGCAGATGAATTAGAAACAAAAAGCTGTGCAGGAGAGTGAAGATTGTAAAAGATGCATGATAACAGTTTCTACAATGCTGTTTCAAACCACATCAGTAACCCTGAATTATAGAAGTGGAATCCAAACTTCAAAGGATGCTCCAAAACTTTTTGGGGAGGATATGAGCCTAAACTTATTACAGCACTGCTATACTAACATTGTGATTAGTATAGGCTGATCTTTCACTAATGCTAATATGGCCAAAACCTATTTCATCATGTTTCTAAATTTTAGTCGACATGAAATAATTTTGACATTGAATTAAAGTATCAGAGAGACTGTCAAAAATGCCCACCACACAATCCTGTAAGAACTTCGAACAATTATTTTAAGTTTATAAAACTCCTCTAACATTATTTGGTTTAAAAACAAACAAAAAAAACCACATAAAACTCCATAAAACCTGTGAAATCCATCAGTTGTAAGATGCAATCATTCACTGTAATGCATCTTGAAGAATAAAAGCTCATAACTTCCCTCCCCTGAGCAGCTTTTACTCTCACCTTCAGGAAGGACGTGCAGACAAAAGGCTGCTTTTTGTTAATTGGAGCCGTACAAAAGACGTAGCGTGACCTCAGGTTTAGTGGAATATGTTGAATCATGTCAGCCAGAAACTTGAAGTCATCAATGTTGCACACAAAGTACATACCGTCCACCTGGGAGAGGCTAACAAATATGTCCTGAAATAAGAAAAAGAAGAGATATAGAAATTTACATACCAAAAATAAGTTTAGATTCAGTAGCATTTAATCAAAGATACCACAATGGGGAGGTTTTTCTTTGTAATCATCACAAGCTATATTAATTTCCTTAAGCCGATTTATTTGTTTCTGGCATTAAAACAAAAGAAAAAAATGAAAGAAAACATAGGTAAAGGTAACCTTTCTGAATCATTTTACAAGATGACTTGAGAAAATTATTTTACAAAAAAAATGTAAAAATTATTTTACATTTAAGGGGAAAGAGGCTCATAAAAAGTATAAAAGTTTATTTACTGCATCACATGACTTAGAAAACATGTTTTGTTTTGAACAGTAGTCTCTGCAACTCAAGACCTTAAAAAATATTCTTATTTTTGTTAGCAACATTTAAAAAAGGGGCTATATTTCTTGGTATTTAGTCCAAATTAAGCAAACAGCAGAGCATTTATACAGTACGTTGTTTTTGATCCACCTCTAGTTTTTTTTAAATGCATTATTGTAGCACCAAATCAGACGGCCTAAAAAAGATAGAGGAGCTCTTTTTTAATTTACAGTGTGAAAAAAGTCCCATTTCTCTAATGACCTCCAGTGAAAGTCCCTAAATTATCTGGTATATCCTTCCAGTAGATCTCCACTGGCTTTCAACATTTATGCACTGATCAGGTTTACTGACTGCAAGACAAACAAGGTTTCTGCAGGTTCCTCATGAGGGATCTCATTTTCTAGTTCAGAAAGAAATAGGATTTTGTTTTTTACTATCAAACCATGTGTCCTCAAACCCCCATCGGATTTTATAAAGCTGCAAAGGGTTTATGTGCAAAACATTTATGAAAATTAGTTTTTAGTTTGATGCATTTAAAGGAAAGCTAATCTAAATGATATCAGTATTAGACTATGTAGAACTGCAGCAGTTCAGAGAATCCCAGAATTTAAACGCTAATTTATTCAACCACTCAACTATACATGGTTCAGATTTTTTATCTAACGAGCATATTTGAGCACATTGCTTTACTTACTACAAGGTTGGAGAGTGTAGCATCAGGGAGGTGATAAGCAAACATTTCTATCTGTTCTGCGGTTGGATGGAGGCCTGCAGTCTGGGAAAAAAAAAGATGTTAGATGGTCAGTTTCTCAATGCATGAATTATGGGGCTTTATGTACCAATGACTGGAAAATTAAACACCTCTATAGGATCAACAGAATGGCTGAGGATTTCCTTCAGGACAGGCAGGTCGTCTCTGTGCATGGTGGTGACCTCTCCCTCCTTAAATTTGGAGGAAAATCTGCAACAGAAAAAGGGGGATTTGAAAAACCTTATGATGGAGAGGACTGTACACCCCCCACTCCTTCAGACATGGAACTGACCTTCCTGCACGACCTGCAATCTGCAGGGCCTGCGAGGTGCTGATGGTCTCCATCTGTTTCTCTCCTTTCTCATTGATATTGGGCTTTACCAGAGAGTTAAAGATGATGCGTTTTATACTCCTAGACAGCATGGAGGGAGGGACAGAAAAACATGTGAGGAATTTGGGTTTTATTGATTCTGACTGCACTTGTTGGTCTGGACTAAATTTATGCTTTCGTTTGTGGATAATTCCAAAGCAAATTAATGTATGAAGGAGATGTCATGTGCTCTGAGAATGTGTAGGACTGTGATTTTAGTTACATAAAATGGTTTGTGGAAAAATAAATAACTTAATGGGTTAAAATTACCTCTATGCTACTTACAGGTTGAGACCCATGCCGATGGCATCTGTAGCGACCAGGATCTTACACGGATCACTGGGATCATTGAACTTCTTGGCCTGCGACAGTTTGGTGCCTGCAGAAAAGTTAATGTTTGCATGTTTCATTTAATTATTATTCATCATACTTATAACTATTATTATTAATTATAATTATTATATATAAACAAAAAGAAGTAAACATGCCATTTCAATTTCTGTGAAAATGTAACACATTTAAGCAGAAACTTTAATCTGTTCAATCTAATCACTTTATCACACTAGCCTCTAGAATATTCAAATGATTAAGATTGCATGAATAACTATCTTAATAGAACCTGAGAAAATATTATAAACAAAGAAATTCTTTATTTCTTTGTTCATTAAAATACTAAAAGTAATGCAATGTATGGAAAAGTTATGTTTCTTTTGCCCTTCAGAATAAGTCTTTAAATCACATAGTTTCCAGTCTTCAGGCCAAAAAAAAAAAAAAATATATATATATATTATATTTTTGTTTTCTACATGCAAAATGAGAGAAAAAATAAACAGAACTCCACCAAAGAAGAAGTAATTTATACATTTATTTAGTTTCTGTACCTTTAGACACAAACTTCTTCCAAGCTTTAAAGAAACTCAGGTTGCTTTAAATCTGTTTTATATTTAACCCACTCACACTCACCTGGAGGTAAACTGCCATAAATCACAGCACATTCTTGTCCTCTAGCCTCAATCTGTCTGCTTAAAGAGTAGATGTCATTTTTACTAAAGCACACAATACAGTCTCCTGGTCTCAGGTTGTC